TGTGCGTGCGTGCCCAAGATCCCGAGAGGAGAATGGAGGAGAAGGGATTGCGGCGTGACCATCCCCCCTGGGGGGTGATTTCTTGCTTTCTGTCTCTATGTTTCTCTCTGTCTGTCTGGCGAGCGCATGCACCCTACAGTGAAAATCTCTCCAAAAAAAAAAAAAGGTTCCTTCTTGATTGTATTCATCTAAACTTAAACATAAAATTCTACTTAGTTTCATATAGATTCTTGCATTCAAGTTCCTGTATTACGACCTCCTGAATGCATGCCATTGTAAGCTATAGTCTGCCCATTTTGCAGCTACTTTATTTGTTCTACTTTTCACATTTCTGATGTATTAGTGTTCTTGTAGCTTGCATCCATTTAAAAGTAGCCTCAATGGTTGAGTAGAAGCTGTGAAGATGCTCTGCATACCGTATCGTTAGGGCATCCCCTAGATGTACATATAATAATTGTGTTCTTAAAAAATGTCTTACAGGCAAAATGTCAACATTACAAGAAGAAACGAATGAAACAGCAAGAGACTATTGCTGCTTTGCAGAAGGACATCTATAGATTAACAAAGGAGGAAGAAGAGCGCATTGTCACTCAGAACAGAGTGTTTGCCTACCTCTGCAAAAGAGTTCCTCATACCGTCTTGGATAGACAGTAATGTTTACAAATAAGCTGACGTATAGCTGAATTCGTGTTTTATTTTAACTGCTTTTAGCTTGGGGATGGTTGTATCTCTCAATATCTAGAGGATTCAGAGGATTCTGTTTCCTGTTCTTAGGCTTTTTTTCCCATGCCATTCTGTGCTTTTTTTTTTTTTTTTTGGAGAGATTTTTGCTATAGGGCGCGTGCGCTCGCCAGACAGACAGAGAGAGACATAGAGACAGAAAGCGAGAAATCACCCCCCAGGGGGGATGGTCACGCCGCAATCCCTTCTCCTCCATTCTCCTCTCGGGATCTTGGGCACGCACGCACACGCACCCGGCATGAGTTCTAAGCCACCGGGTCCGGGACGCGAACCGCGGTTGACTACGTGGGAGTCCAGCGACATAGCCATTACGCTAACTGCTGGTTCCCCCATTCTGTACTTTTGTTGGCCATAGAGCTCTTTCAAGAAATGTCATCGGACATTTGCTAACAGCACCAAACACAGGCAAGCAGGTAGCAAGGTAGTTAAGGCACTAGACTCCCACATGGTCAGCCACATGGACCTGGTGGTTTGAAACTCACACCAGGCATGTATGTGTACCTGCCCAAAATCCCAGGAAGAGAATGGAGCAGAAGGGAATGCACTGTGGCCACACCCCTGGGGGGGTGGCGGTTCTCACTTTCGCCTTCACTGTCTCTGTCTCTCTTGGGCGAGCACATGTGTCCTATGGCAAAGCATTTTAAAAAATAAGTAACACTAAACATTTGAAATTAAGCAAGTTAAATTTATAATTAACTAGTAATTTCTCAAAAGAACTCTGATTCCTTTTAGTGAGAAAAAACATGGTGGTTGTTGAGAATCCTTATTGTTACCATGTTGTTGATTTTCAGACTTTTCTGTAGAAAGAATAAGAACTATGTATTTTTGTTTTGTTTTTTTTTTCAGCCAAAATTAACATTATAATATTTCCATTTAAATCCTTTGATTTTATATTTGTAACATTACTTTTACACTGAAAATCATTATTCCTAGGGATAGTACGTAATTACTTGCTTTATCCTATAATATGTAAAAGTAGTTTGGAAGTAATAATGCCAGAATAACTAACAGTAGTAAGCTGACTGAATGACAGGTGGGTAGCCAGCTAGTGCATGAAGAAGATAACCTTTCAGCTGGGCTACTAATAACTAGAATTTCGATAGGCAAAGGTAAGAGACAGGGTGTTTCATTTAGAGGAATGTGCTCGCAGGAATCCTCCCTTATTGGCCATGGAGGACTGGACACATACCCAGCATGTTTTTTAAGCCACCAAGTCTGAGATTCAAATCACATGGTCGGCCATGTGGGGTCCAGCAGCCTGAACCATGAGGCCATGGGTTGGCCCATACCCCAGGTTTCTTTCTTTCTTTTTTTTTTTTTCTAAATTTGCTATAGAGCTCATGACTTGTCAGATAGAGATGGGAACGGAGATAACCATGCCACCGTCCCTTCTCCATTTTCCTCTCAGGATTTTGGGCATGCATGCGCATGCACCCTGTGTGTTTTATAAGCCGCTAGATGTGGGACTTGAACCCCGTAGTCAGCTATGTGGAATCTAGCCATCTTAACCACCATGCCACTTGAGAGAAAGAAAGCCAAGTTAGTAGTCATTTGTAACAGTCCAGGTGAGAATGAAGGGGTGAGCTGGGACCGAAAGGGAGGAGAAATGCTGCAGAGACGGACCGGTGGCCAGGCTGACTGGCCGTAGATGCAGAAAGAGTCAAGGATGGCCGCTTCTCAGCCCTGATTTGCGAGGCTAGGGAGGGCAGATGGTGAATTCATGTGGCAGTGGGCCTAGTCAGGCACCTTTGCCCAAATGCGTAGAGATGTCAGGCCTTCTTCTGGAAGGGCCAAACTGCCAAGAACTTCCAGGTCTCATGTAGAGGAAGAAGAGGCAGAAGAGGAGCTGTATTTGAGAACCGTGACCAAGGAACAGTTGTGTTTTGAGGAGGAGAGGGTCCGACTGCCTGTCAGCTTACTCGTTTACCGTCCCGCCGTCTTACTTACGCAGGTTCCCAGTAGTTGACAAATAATGAGGGCTCCCTAAAAGCTTGTGGGAGTAGTTGATGATGAGCACTCAGAATGAAGCTTTCTATGAAGAGAAACACTAGAAACGGATTAGCAGCATAAGGGGGAAGTAAGTAGAGAGGGTTTTGTAGGATATAAGGAAGAGTAAAGCGTCGTTGTGGGATGATATGAAATCTGGTGTATGTTGACATCAGGAAAGGTTCAAGAGACTATTCTGGAGAGTTGAAGTATTACAAGCATGGCTGGCTGAATCAGATACGAAAAGGGGGATGACTTTGTGATATTTTTCCCAAAATAGGTTGGAAATTATTTAAATAGTTTCTTTACCCCCAGCCTCCACGATGCAGGCAGCATATTGAACTGCAGTGCTGGAAGCCACATGGCTGGCCACAGGTTCAGGTCCCACGTTGACCTGAAACATGCCAGGCACCTGAATGCCCTGGAGGGCTGGGGGAAGGGGCTGCAGCATAACGAGACCCTGTAAAAAGTTCCTGTCTTCCTTTCTCTGTCTCTCTCTCCTGGGTTCACATGTGTGCTCTGTTGTGAACAAAATAAACAAACTTAAAAAAACAAACAGACATGCGAGGCCCAACTGCATGGAGCACACCATTAAGACACTGCTTTTCAGGCTGTGACCACGGGAGAGGCCTAGGCTCGTTCCTGGTCCAACCTGAGGCCGGGTGTGGTGACTGGTGCCTTTAATCCCAGCACTCGAGGGTGCTGAGGCAAGGAAGAGCTCGAGCTTGGGGCTGACTGGGGCAACATGGTGCTACGTCTGCTGTGGGTGAGCTGGGAAGAGCAGGATGTGGCAGTGTTTGCTTGAATCCAGCTATGGGGAGGCTGAGGCAGGGGGAGCACAACATGGCAAGACCCTATCTTAAGGAAAAAAGGGCCACCTTGTAGCATGGTGGTTAGGGCAGTGACCTGCACATGGCTGACCAAGGTATGAGTCCTGGACCCAGTGGCTTGAAAATCATGCTGGGTGTGTGTGCCCACAATCCCAGGAGGAGAATGGAAGAGGGGATTGCAGCATGGCCATCCCTCTGGGGGGATTCCCCTCTCATTGTCTCTGGCGAGTACACCCTATGGCAAAAAGAAAAGAACAAAATAGGAGAGCACTCTGGGTGTACGTGCATGTGTGCCCAAAACCCTGAAAGAGGGAGAAATGAAGGAGGGTTTGTGGTGTGACCATTTTCTATAGGGGGTGCTTTCTCTCTTTCTTCCCAGGGAGCACATACAGCTTCTGGGAATTAAAAAACAAAAAAACAAACAAAAAGAAAACCCAGAAAGTAAAAAGAATAAAACATGAGAGTATAATGCTTTCTTAGGATTTAAAAAATTTCCATAGTAGGGGCCAGCAGGTGGCATAGTGGTTAAGGCACTGGATTTCCACATGGCTAACTGTGGTTTGAGTCCTGGACCTGGCGGCTTGCTCTCTCTCTCTCTCTCTCTTTCTCATTCTCACTCTCTCTTACTCTCTCACTCTGTCCCTCTCTGGGCAAATTTAAATAAATAAAGTTAAATAATTCTTTAAAACATTCAAACAGTAGGAAATGATATAAAGGAAGCTGTTGCAGACCTACGTGCCTCTGCCGATCTCCACAGTCTAGCGCTGACCTCCTAACGGCCTGGCGTATGTCCTTCTGGTGTTTCCCCACAGGAGGGCTGTGGGTGTTCCCAGTGGGACAGTACCTGGCCATGTAGGGTCGTCACATTCGCTGATGGACTTTTAGCGTTCTGCCCCTTTCCCAAAGTCGTCAGTGTGACAACCAACACACTGCTGATAATATTTTCCTTCAGTTAAGAACCTGGGAGGAAGTAATGGCTATGTCGCTGGACTCTCATGTCTTCAGCTGCCATTCGAGTCCCAGACCCGGTGGCCTAAAACTCATGCCTGGCACACTTGCGTGTGTGCCCAAGATCCCGAGAGGAGAACAGAGGAGAAGGGATAGCGGCCTGGCCATCCCCCCTGGGGGGTGATTTCTCGCTTTCTGTCTCTCTGGCAAGTGCACATGCCCTATTGCAAAAATCTCTCTCTAAAAAAAAAAAAAAAAAACCTGTAGAGTTCTTTTTAAATATATATATACAAACTGATATAAGTTTTCCTTTTTTTAGTCAAAAGTAGAGTGACAGTCATTAGATTGTGCAACATGAATTTTCCCTTACCCATTGTTAGGATATACAGATTTATATGATGCCTTCTTTAAAAATATTATCATTATTATTTTAATTTGCTATAAGGCACATGCACTGTTGGGGTGGGGGAATAAAAAGTAAGCCACCAGGCCCAGGCATCAAACCTTGGTCGGCCACGTGGGAATCCAGCACCTTAACCCCATGCCCCCTGCTGGTCCCGCATGGCATCTTCTAATGCCGCATTTCCCTGTAGAACAGATAAGCTGTTGTGTAACCTGCCCCCATGGAAGCGTATTAGTTTTTGATTTTTCATTCCTTTAAGAAGTGGTACAGGCGCCGGCAGATGGCATCGTGGTTACGTGGCTGGACTCCCACATAGCTGACTGCAGTTCGAGTCCAAGCCTCGTGGCTTAAAACTCACGCTGGACACGTGTGTGCATGCGTGCCCAAAATCCTGGGAGGAGAATGAAGGAGAAGTGATAGTGATGTGACCCTCCCCCCAGGGGTGATTTCTCACTTTCCCTCTCGCTGTCTCCGTCTCTTTGGCGAGCACGCACACCTTAGGGCAAAAAATAAACAGTGTACAGTGAACAACTTTGTGCAGAACACATTGCATGCCGGGGGGTATTGCTGTGGGAGAGAGTACTACAGAGATTGCTGTTAGCACAGGGGAAATACATTTAGTGTGTTCAGATATAATGGCTGTGATTATCTTTATGTAAATCTACACTTTGAAGTTAATATAAAATATATGAATTGAGGCGATACGGTGGTTAAAACACTGCATTCCCTCATGGCAGACTGCAGTTCTAGTCTGGGACCTGGCTGCTTGAAAATTACAACAGACAGACAAACAAATAAGTGAATAAATAGATGTAAAAACACATATATATGACTTCATGTAGTATTTACTTCTAGTAAGAATCGCTTACATTTTTAAGCTTACCTATACTTAATTTTCTCACTCGTAATTTGAAATTACATAGGAAGAATAGTAGATGCTCTAATAGCCACATTTTGTAAGTGATTCTTCTGTTTTTTAGGTTACTTTGCCTGATTGACTACTATGAATCTAAAATTAAGAAAATCTGTGCACAAAGGTAAGAATAATCCTGTATTACAATTTTTGAATCTGTTGGGGTTGTCAGAAAAGTCATGATGCGTCCACTAATAAATCACACCAAAAATTTTTATAGCCTTTTTTCAAGAATTATTTGTGGGAACCAGCAGTTAGCGTAATGGCTATGTCGCTGGACTCCCACGTAGTCGACCGTGGTTCGTGTCCCGGACCCGGTGGCTTAAAACTCACGCCGGGCGCGTGTGCGTGCGTGCCCAAGATCCTGAGAGGAGAATGGAGGAGAAGGGATTGTGGCGTGACCATCCCCCTTGGGGAGTGATTTCTCGCTTTCTGTCTCTATGTCTCTCTCTGTCTGTCTGGCGAGCGCACGTGCCCTACAGTGAAAATCTCTAAAAAAAAAAAAAAATTCATGGGTGTGGGACCAGCAGTTAGCGTAATGGCTATGTTGCTGGACTCCCATGTAGTCGACCACAGTTCAAGTCCTGGACTCGGTGGCTTAAACTCACGCTGGGCACGTGTGCGTGCCTGCCCAAGATCCCGATAGGAGAATGGAGGAGAAGGGATTGTGGTGTGGCCATCAGCCCAGGGGGTGATTTCTCTCTTCTTGTCTCTCTCTCTGTCTTTCTGGTGAGCGCATGTGCCCTATAGCAAAAACCTCTTAAAAAAAAAAAAAGAAAGAAATTTGTGTGTGCGTGTGTCCCCAAAATCCCAAGAGGAGAATGGAGGAGAAGGAATTGCAGTGTGGCCATCCCCCTGGGGGGGGAGTGTATGTGTGATTTCCATCTCTGTCTCTCTGGCAAGCACGCATGCCCTATAGCAAAAATCTCTCTCTTAAAAACAAAAGGTACACTGTATATATTTTTTCATAGGCAAGATAAAGAAGATGAAAGCCAATCAGAAGAAGAGAAAGACTACAGAAATCTGGAATCCTCACCAACTTACAAAGGCCTTCTCATGGTATGGAGACTATAACTAATAAATACTCTCTACTAAGTAAAGGAGCCTCCTAGGAGCGTTAATTCGTTTTCTACGAAATGTGTTGCAGTCTTTACAGAATCAGCTCAAGGAGTCAAAATCCAAGATCGATGCACTTTTAAATGATAAGCTGAACCTCCAAAAAGATTTGGAAACCAGGTAAAAGAAACGGGAATCATCGTAACTTATCCTTTGAAAAGTAAGCACGTGTTGCAATCTGGGGTGTTAGATGAACCCCTCTAGCCCCTCCACTGTTGGTCTGGGGCCCTCTTACTCCGCTAACTCGTTCTAGCCGGTTGTTGCACGATCCGTGCCGGAAGGAACGAGAACACGTGGGCAGGCGAAGGAAGTAGGGTAACAGAGTCCACACTAGAGAACGTAGAGCTGGGTGAGGACATCGAGCAGGCTTAGCCTTGTTTTCATTTTTTGCTTTTCAAAATTAGCTTTATTGAGGTATAACAGATACATTTTGCACTGCACATATTTCCAGTGCCCAGTCTGTAAGTTGTGATGTAGAGACACGCAGGCAGAGGTGAGCACTTGGAGGTCTCTCTGGCCCCCTCTGTCTCCCTACGCTCCCTCCTTGCCAGCCTTGGCCTCAGGCCACCACCGACTGGCTCCTGGCCTACGCATCAGCTTCTGTTAAACTTTGTGTAAATGGAGCCGTACGATATTTACTCTTTTTGGTCTGTATTTCTTCACCCAGCATAATTGTTATATTTTAAATTATAAATTAAAAATTACATATATTTGTGGGGTACAAAGTTATATTATGACTTACTAATATAATGTGAATAATTAAATAAAACTAATTAACATATCTATTATCTCAATTCCTGTTTTTTGGTGGTGAAAAGGTTTGAAATTCACTCTCAGCAATTTAAAAATGTACGGTACGTTGTCATTTGCTGTATCAGATTCAGTCTCACACCAGTAGGTTTTTCATTCTCAGAGTGCTTCAGCGTGTCTTGTTATTTCTCTCTGTGTGGCGGGAGGAAAAAGTACAAAGCTTTAATGGCACACAGCAGAAATGTATATTTAGCACAGCTACTAAAGTCTCGTGCTCTACACATTGACGGTGAGTAATAAGGAATAAACACTGCTGAGACTTTGTTTTCCTTTTTTTTTTTTTTTGAGAGGTTTTTGCTATAGGGCACATGTGCTTGCCAGAAAGACAGAGAGAGACATAGAGACAGAAAGCGAGAAATCACCCCCAGGGGGGATGGCCACGCCGTAATCCCTTCTCCTCCATTCTCCTCTCGGGATCTTGGGCACGCACGCACACAGGCCCATTGTGAGTTTAAACCACCGGGTCCAGGACTCGAACTGCGGCCAACCACATGGGAGTCCAGCGACATAGCCATTATGCTAACTGCTGGTCCTGAGACTTTTTTTTCCCCATTCAGCAAATACTTATTTTATAAGTTAGACTCTCCACCAAAGCTCTAGGATAGAACAGTGACCGTGACAAACTCCTTGTTCTCATACAGCTTGTATTTTAACAGAGAAGGTCCTGATCCCTACAGAATAAACCATTAATACAAAGTTTGAAAACCTGCCACACATTTATTTATGGTTATATAAATATGTAGTAGAAATTTTAAAAAACATGCATGGGAATTGTGAACAGTAAACGCAGGTTTGTGGTTACCTGGGGTGTGGGAGAGAGGGGACACGGTAGTGAAGTACACGTGGAGTCCTCAGTCCAGGTTACAGGTGACAGCGACTGGGAACGAGTCTGCATATGTCCAAATTTGATTAAACTGGGTAGTGCGTACTCCAGGATATAGTATAGTATTTCTAGTCTTGTCTTTATATTTGAAATATTTCACCATAAAAACAAGCAATAGGTAAGTAACAACAAAAAAACGAGTAAAAAGTTTTGAGTAAGGAATTACACAGAAGAAATCCATGTGGCCAGTAAATTCTTCATAGCAGTCATGATCTGTTTTTGAGAATTTCAAGAGTATATTTGTAACAAGGTGTCATTTGTTGTTTATCGTGAAGTGCCTTTATTGTTTTATTTAGTAAATTGTGTGCATTTGATGTGATTCATTTTTTGCAGGCCTACACAGCACGAATTAAGACTTTATAAACAACAGGTGAAGAAACTGGAAAAAGCCCTTAAGAAAAGCATCAAGTAATTATATTTTACCAAAATTATAGTTATTATTCGGGTTTTATATTTTATTATCTGCGTCTATTACCTGTCAACTTATCTCACACTACCTCATAGTGAGGATATGACTTGGAATTATCGAGTTGACAGAGGAAATGACGTTAAGAAGGGATATTTCTGGTTACACGTGTAAAA